ATCTTGTGATGAATTTTGAAAGTACTAGTGTTAATATTTGATAATTGTTATTAGTTTTGAGAGAAGGTCTTACTCTGTCACCCTGGCTGGAGTGCAGTGGAATGATTATGACCCACTGCAGCCTCCACAACCTGGCTCAAGTGATCTCCCACCTCAGCCTCCCAAGTAGCTGAGGACTAGAGGCGCATGCCACCACACTTGGCTAATTTTGTATTTTTTGTAGAGACAGGATTTCGGCATGTTGCCCAGGCTGGTCTTGAACTCCTAGGCTCAAGTGATCTGCCCGTCTCGGCCTCCCAAAGTGCTGGGATTATAGGCGTGAACCTCCATGCCCAGCTGTATTATTTCTAATACAATTTGTAATTTTTTTTTTTTTACTTTTTGTTTTTTTATCCAGGAGTACTGCTATATAATTTGTAATTCTGATTGCATTAAGATGGCAGGTTTGGCCGGGTGCGGTGGCTCAAGCCTATAATCCCAGCACTTTGGGAGGCCGAGACGGGCGGATCATGAGGTCAGGAGATCGAGACCATCCTGGCTAACATGGTGAAACCCCTTCTCTACTAAAAAATACAAAAAAGAAAAAAAAACTAGCCAGGCGAGGTGGCGGGCACCTGTAGTCCCAGCTACTCGGGAGGCTGAGGCAGGAGAATGGTGTGAACCCCGGGGCGTGGAGCTTGCAGTGAGCTGAGATCCGGCCACTGCACTCCAGCCTGGGCGACAGAGCGAGACTCCGTCTCAAAAAAAAAAGGTGGTATGTTTAATTTATTCAGCAAATATTTAAGTTATTTTGATATGGAAATCTGTGCTATTTTCTGATAAAGATGAGCTCATACAATGTTTTAAAGCTTATTATTATTACTCTCTAGAATTTTACAGCACTTTTATGACAAGGATCTATGTGGAAAGTGCTAGAATACAACTTCTTATGTGAATGATGTTTGAGTGATGATTCTGTACAAAACTCATTCCTAGGTCGGGCGTGGTGCTCACACCTGTAGTCCCAGCACTTTGGGAGGCCGAGGTGGGTGGATCATCTGAGGTTAGGAGTTTGAGGCCAGCCTGGCCAACATGGTGAAACCCTGTCTCTGCAAAAAATACAAAAATTAGGCAGGCATGGTGGCACATGCCTGTAATCTCAGCTACTCGGGAGGCTGAGGCAGGAGAATGGCTTGAACCCTGGAGGTGGAGGTTGCAGAGAGCTGAGATTGTGCCGTTGCACTCCAGCCTGGGCAATAGAGTGAGACTGTATATCTCCAAAAAAAAAAAAAAAAAAAAAAAAAAGCTCATTCCTCTCTTACATACATAAGTTATATTCTAGCTGCTTCATTTTGAGTTGCTTTATATATTCAATGTATACTTAGTTCATGTTTTATAAAGGACAGCTTTCATCAAACTTGGCTTTATCCAAACTTTCAGTGGTTTTCCATTTTGTTCATGATTAAGTCCAAATATTTTAGCCAGTGAAAGGCCCTGTAATTTAACCCACCCCTTTCTAATCTTATTTCTCATCATTTTTCCTATTAAGTGAGATTAATGTGTTTCCCTGATCCATGCCTTTGCTTGCACCCACTGACCTGTTCTTTTAATTCTTTCTGCCTATCAGTACCCATCATTTTTGCTCCAGTTCTGATCCCACCTCTTTAGTAAGATCATCTTTATCAGTCATCCACCATGGCCAGGAGTGATCTCTCGTAAAATATACTTTATTTTTTGTTGTTTACAAAGCCAATCAACACTGGTTTCATAAGGTAAACCAAAAGCCCTTCATTTCTAATCTCACTGTCCAGGGGAGAACCTCTTAATACTTCCTTAATAATTTTATGCATATTCAAATATGTATTAGCTTATTTGGTTATTATTAACTTTGGCCACCATATTGGAGAACACAGTTCTATTGGCTTAATTATATTGCACTTTGATTTTTCTTTTGGTAAGAGTATTTCAAGAATGGTAATGTATACTTTATATTGTATCGTACAAGAAATATACTGTCTGGGGATCTCCTTTTGTGATATTTAAGTGGATTGGGGATTCAGGCATTGTCAGTCTGATCTACCCCAATGAGCCTTTCACTGAATGATTTTATGAATCTCATTCTTTTAAATTTTCATCAGCCAGGCACAGTGGCCCATACCCGTAATCCTGACACTTTGGGAGACAGGGCGGGAGGATTGCTTGAGCCCAGGAGTTCAAGAACAGCCTTGGCAACCTAAGGAGATCCCATCTCTACAAAAAAAAAAAAAATTTTAATGTCATACATAGCTACTTTACTGCCTGTTAATATAGCAAGATAATAGATTGTTAAAAGGCAGGCTCTGGAGCCAAACTGCCTGCTAGTAATGACCTTCAGCAAGTGAGTATACATCTTTGTGCCTCAGTTTTTCTTCACTGGGAGGGGACTGACAGTGCATGGTTACATAGTGTCAGTCAATGTTAGTTGTTATTAATATATTGGTTTAAAAGTTTGATTTTGCTGTCTATGTGCATAGCCTTTGTTTGCATGGAAAAATGTTTTATTGGATAATATTCACGGTATTCTGTTAGGTAGTGAAACCGGGTTACCTTGTAGAAAAATGAAACACCATTTAAATTATAACAAATTTATTATTTTTCTATAATTTTTAGTAAGAAAAACAGCAGAAAAGGAATTTATTACATTGGAGTTTGTAATGAAGAAAAGAAACATTGAGCATGATTAGATATATATTCTAGATATTAGGAAAGAAAATTGGAAAAGAGAAAAAGAAATGAGTGACATTATTGCTTTTGATTATGAATGGCTGTATGGTTCTTTGAGATGACAGTTAATAAACATAAGTGCACACAATCCTAAATAATTTGATGGAGGAGAAGTTTCTAAAAACCCAATGTGGTGATGCAAGGGAACTCTCAGATAAGCAGAGCATAGATATAGTAGATGGAAGGGAAGATGCAGAACTAAAGATGAATATGAAACTTTATAACAGTGGCTGAAACCACAAGGTAAGCTGAAGTTTGTAAGACAACGTAAGTTGTTTTTTGAAAGTAATATCTCAATTAAGGTTAAGCTTCAAAAAGATCATCAAGGCCGGGCGTGGTGGCTTATGCCTGTAATCCTAGCACTTTGGGAGGCTGAGGTGGGTGGATCACAAGGTCAGGAGTTCGAAACCAACATGGAGAAACCCTGTCTCTACTAAAAATACAAAAAAAAAAAAAAAAATTAGCCAGGCTTGGTGGCACATACCTGTAATCCCAGCTACTCGGGAGGCTGAGGTGTGAGAGTCACTTGAACCCGGGGGGTGGAGGTTGCGGTGAGCCGAGATCATGCCACTGCACTCCAGCCTGGGCAACAAGAGTGAAACTCCATCTCAAAAAAAAAAAAAAAGAAAAAACAAGATTATCAAATTTTTAAGAGGTATGGAACTATCAGGTCTCATTTTACAATTGCCTGATTGAGTAAGGAGAAATAGGTTTTGAGTTGGAAAGGATGTAACAATAGTATTAAAAGAATTATAGGAAATTGTAGTTAAGCAACTAAGAAGTGAAATATCTGACCACTTTAAGTGCATTTTATTTTCTTCATATAAATCAGGGTCTTATCTTGCCACCAGTGGACTTGCATAGTTCATGAAATCATTCAGTAATATTTGAGAATGTAATGAAAAATATAACTAGTGCCTGGAGATGATCAGATGCTAGCTTGATTTTTTAGAAAGGAAAAAATGTGGGTACTGAAACTTGCAAGCTGGTAAATTTGGTATTGATCTTTGGCAAATTTCTATAAATAAATTTCAGAAGTTTGGGAACATTTGTGGAAGAATACTTGAATGGAGACATTTAAATGTGTTTACCATATATTATATTAAATTAATTTAGGATTATCAGGTTGGATGAATTAGAAGAATACTATAGAAAGTTTCTTTAGTGAAATATTTGACAGTCTGTGGCTACATTTTTGAATAAGATGTGTTAGCAAAGTGTTGTTTAAATTTAGAGTAAGTAGATCTATTTGTGGGCCAGGCGCGGTGGCTCAAGCCTGTAATCCCAGCACTTTGGGAGGCCGAGACGGGCAGATCACAAGGTCAGGAGATCAAGACCGTCCTGGCTAACACAGTGAAACCCCATCTCTACTAAAAATACAAAAGTAGCCAGCATGGTGGCGGGTGCCTGTAGTCCCAGCTACTCGGGAGGCTGAGGCAGGAGAATGGCGTAAACCCGGGAGGCGGAGCTTGCGGTGAGCTGAGATCCAGCCACTGCACTCCAGCCTGGGCGACAGAGCAAGACTTCATCTCAAAAAAAAATAATAATAATAGAAATAAATAAATAAATAAATTTAGAGTAAGTAGATCTATTTGTAATAGTAGATTGAAATCCAAAACTATCATTTCATTAGAGGTTGAATGTCACCCTTGAGAGGGATCTTCAGAACAATACAGTGGCATTGTCTATATCTTGTCTCATTTTAATCACTTGTCTCGTTTTAATCACTGATCTAACTGAAGGTTTAGTAAGTAGGCTTATCTACTTATAGATTATTCAAAGATGGTCTTGGATAGCTGATATCATAGAAGGCAATCAAGAATGTCTCCCTAAAACTTTACCTAATTAATCTAGTGTATTTCTGTCTTTCCTTCTCTTACATTTTGATACTTTGTATGTAATATATATTTATAGTTTAGGTTGCTTCAGGAAAAAAAAAAACAAACTTTTTTTATGTTTTGTTTTTAGTAGAGGTGAAGTGTTGTCCCTTGCCCAGGCTGGTCTTGAACTCGTGAGCTCAAGTAATCCTGCCACCTTGGCCTCCCAAGTGTTGGAATTACAGGCATGAGCCACTCTCCCAACTCCCCTCCACCTCCCAAAAAAATTTTTTATTTTTTGTCTGTTTGATATATTTACCAAATTATTTTTTGAATTGTATGTATCTCTCATTATAGCATAATACTCTTAATGATACAGATTTAATAATACAAACTATGTTGGAGCAGTTTCTGCATAAGGTATGTTTTAATTTACTCTAGGAATATGAAGCACGAACGGGGAGGACTTGTAAACCACCACCTCAGTCTTCAAGACGCAAGAATTTTGAATTTGAGCCACTTTCTACCACTGCCCTGATTCTTGAGGATCGCCCATCGTAAGTATTTTAGTGATAATCAGTAAAATTGTTTATATTTTAAAGTTTAATTTTGTTCACTATTTTAAAAGATAGCGAGAAAGATACTGAGATAGATACACAAAGGATTTAATTTTTACAAAATTTAATCCCTGTTGTCTATCCTAAAACTATGTGGGGAGAATATATTTTTCTTGGATTTTCTGTTTGTTTAGAGACAGGATCTTGCTATGTTGTCCATGCTGTTCTCAAACTCAAGTGATCCTCCTGCCTGAGTCTCCCCTTCCAGCATTATAGGCACGCACTGCTGGCCTTAATAGAGAGTATATTGTTGCTGTCTAAGACTTAACACATATTTTCTAGAGGTCTCTGTGAGTTAGTATATGAAACATAATAAAGTATTGGCTCTTCATGTCTGTTTCTATTTCAATTCTCTGCTCCTCCATTTTAACATGATAGGGCAATTATTTTTCCTTTCTTGACATTTAATATGTATTTAAGATGTGCTTGTCTTTGCCTTTTGTACTATGTAACTACTTAGGTAAGCAAAAGTTTTATTAAGGAAGTAAGCATATACTCTAAGAGAGGAGTGGGCTGACCCAGCTAGGAGCCTACTATTATTATTAAGAATACATTTATTGGGCCGGGTGTGGTGGCTCATGCCTGTAATCCCAGCACTCTGGGAGGCCGAGGTGGGTGGATCACAAGGTCAGGAGTTCGAGATCAGCCTGACCAGCCTTGTGAAACCCTGTCTCTACTAAAAATACAAAAAAGTAGCCAGGCATGGTGGCGCACGCCTGTGGTCCCAGCTGCTCGGGAGGCTGAGGCAGGATAATTGCCTGAACCCAGCAGGCAGATGTTTCAGTGAGCCGAGATCGTGCCACTGCGCTCCGGCCTGGACGACAGAGTGAGACTCCATCTCAAAAACAAAACAAAACAAAGAATACATTTCTTATTTATTTATTTATGTTTGTTTTATTTTATTTATTTTTAATTTTTTATTTTTGAGACAGAGTTTTGCTCAGTCACCCAGGCTGGAGTGCAATGGTGCGATCTCAGCTCGCTGCAACTTCCGCCTCCTGGGTTCAAACCATTCCCTTGGCACAGCCTCCTGAGTAGCTGGAATTACAAGCTGGCACCAACATGCCTGGCTAATTTTTTCTTTTTGTATTTTTAGTAGAGACAGGGTTTCGCCATGTTGGCCAGGCTGGTCTTGAATTCTTGACCTCAAGTGATCCACCCACCTCAGCCTCCCAAAGTGCTGGGATTACAGGCATTAGCCACCATGCCTAGCCTAAGAATACATTCTTAATGCTCAGCAAAACATCTTAAATTGTTCTTTTCCCATATCTGCCCTTCTCTGTATTTTCTACAGTGCTGCTGTACATCAGAATATTGTCTGATTTATTATTAAACAAAACACATCCTAAAGCAAGACCACTTGGTTCTTAGCTCTTTCTCTCCTCCTTGGGTTTTCTGGATCTATTCTTTTTCTTTTACTAGAATTCTCTCTCTGTCCCTCTCTTTCTTTTTAATTTAATTTAATTTAATTTGTAGAGGCGGAGTCTTGCTCTGACATCGAGGCTGGAGTGCAGTGGCACAATCATAGCTTACTGTAGCCTCAAACTCCTGGCCTCAGACAATCCTGCCACTTCAGCCTCCCTAGTAGCTAGGACTACGTGAGCACACCACCGCACCTGGCTAAAGAATTCTCTCTCTCTCTCTCTCTTTTTTTTTTAAATGTAAAAGTTCCTAGCCTTTCTTGCCGTTTTCCTGTTCTGGACCTTTTTCTACCCATTATCCTGATGAACATAATAAAAGAGTCTGGAGCCAAATAGAAGAGTATAGAATATTTTTTTGGACTTTGCAAGAGAAAGCCGGACCTGTTAAGTATATTATTGTTTTATTCTGGTTACATTCCCTCATACTAAAGAATTGTGATCCCAATACTCCTCTTTTAGGATTTGATGAATATGTTTATATTCGTCTTTTCATTGCTTAAAAAAAGCATTTTAGAAACTTAGAGAACATGTGAAATTTTATTTCAGACTTGCTGCCAGGGATTAAAATGAACCAGGCCAATTCAAAGATTCCTTTCTTGGTGGAGACATTTATAGGAAAACAAGAATGGTTAGATAAACAAGAAAAGAATAACTTGTTAAAGATCTTTAGACTTTGCAACTGTCAGATGAGTAAGTAGATAAGTTCCCAGAAGAGTTTGCTTAAGCTTGTTAAAATTTATCCAAAATGGATTATGCTTTTTACCAGGTATATTAATTTCTTCCCAGAAAGCATTTATGAAAGTATCTCTTGGCCGGGTGCGGTGGTTCACGCTTGTAATCTCAGCACTTTGGGAGGCCCAGGCAGGCAGATCACGAGGCCGGGAGATCGAGAACATCCTGGCTAACATGGTGAAACCCTGTCTCTACTAAAAATACAAAAAATTAGCTGGGCATGGTGGCGGGCGCCTGTAGTCCCAGCTACTCGGGAGGCTAAGGCAGGAGAATGGCGTGAACCTGGGAGGCGGAGCTTGCAGTGAGCCAAGATAGTGCCACTACACTCTAGCCTGGGCAACAAAGCAAGACTCTGTCTTAAAAAAAAAAAGAAAATATCACTCAAAAAGTTCTGTTCTAGACAGTGTTGGGGACAAATCTTTCTTTACACCATACTCTATTTTATATCATATCTGTCTCTTTAGGTTCTGCCTCCATGCCTTTGCTCATGTTATTCCCCTGTCTTGGAAGGCTTTTGTCTTATTTCTGCTTCTTACTTACTCAGTCCTTAAGGATTAGGCTTTATCTTTTCTATCAAGTCTTTGGTGATTTCTTCAGCCTTCCGTTGTATCTACTTCTCTTGTACCTTTCTTGTAACACACAAAGAGTTCCTTGAAATAATGTTCAATGAAATTGGCTTGAAATAATATGGTAGACATAATAACATTATGAAAAGAACTGAGTGTACAAAAAGATATAAACAGCTGAAAAGTACTTTTATTTTCACTCAAACTATCTGTAGTTATATTATTATAATAAATGTTATAGCTTTTATTCTGTTTCTGTGTGTTTGCTCATCTGTAATATAGAGACTGAATTTGGTCTCTAGTGTTCCACTCAACACTGAGATGCTGTGGTTAACTAAGACTTTTGTTCACCTTTTTAAATTTGAAGGGGCATTTTTGGTGTGGGGAAGTTATTTATATGACTTATGTAACTAAAACAAACCAACAAAGTGTTTTCATGGTGTTGGAGTGTGAGGGTGTGTAATCACTTACTTATTCTTCTACTTCAACCAATTGAAAAATAGATAGTGGAGAACAGAAGAGAATGAAACCTTCAATTTTATTGAGTATAAAACCAGATGAGGGGAAGAAAACTCTATATGGGAATACCTAGGTACAACCTGAGTACTAAAGATGAAGAACTTTGTACTTTATCTTCCTCATAATACTCTTCTAGCAGACTTGGGCCAGCTAACATCTGTCTAGTTATAGCCCAAGAAGCTAGAACAGAGATCTGAGTAATCTTAGATTTCTTCTGTTTATGGATGCAGGCAGGTTCAAGAGGCCTGTTCTGCTTTTGTGTCTTATCTACTGGTAATGCCACTACTTCAACAAAGAGGTGACATCTGGAAGAAGATAGAAATTATTCTACAGCAGGGCTCCCCAAACCCCAGGCCAAAGACTGATTCTGATTAGGAACTGGGCTGCACAGCAGGAGGTGAGCAGTGAGTGAGTGAGTGAATGAGTGAGTGAGTGAGTGAGCAAGCAAGCGAAACTTCATCAGTATTTACAGCTGCTCCCCATTACTTGTGTTACTGCTTGAGCTCCATCTCCTGTCAGGTCAGCGGCAACCTTAGATTCTCATAGGAGCATGAACCCTATTGTGAACTGTGTGTGAGAGAGATCTAGGTTGTGTGGTCCTTATGAAAATCTAATGCCTGATGATCTGTCACCTTTTCCCATCACCCCCAGATGGGACTGTCTAGTTGCAGGAAAAGAAGCTCAGGGCTCCCACTGATTCTACATTATGATGAGTTGTATAATTATTACATATTGCAATGTAATAATAATAGAAATAAAGTGCACAATAAATGTAATGCACCTGAATCATCCTAAAATCATCCTCCCATCTCAGCCCATGGGAAAATTGTCTTCCATGAAACTGGTCTCTGGTACTATAAAGGTTGGGGACCAGGGGTATAGACCATCTACAAATTTCACCTTATTAAATAGATGACTAGATCTCCTAAACTGTGCCCAGCAAATCGTTTGCCATGACTTGTAGAAAAGAAACAACAGAGGAGCTAGGCGTGGTGGCTCCCATCCATAATCCCAGCACTTTGGGAGGCCGAAGCAGGAGGATCACTTGAGGCCAGGAATTCAAGACCAGCCTATGCAAAATAGTGATACTCTGTCTCTACCAAAAATAAGCCAGGGTGTGGTCATACATACCTGTAGTCCTAGCCTACTTGGGAGGATTTCCTGAGCCCAGGAGTTTGAGGTTACAGTGAGCTGTGATTGCGCCACTGTGCTCCAGCCTGGGTGACAGAGTGAGACCCTGTCTCAAAAAAAATGAAATGACAGAGATTGCAGTTGCAAAAGGGATTAAGCTTCACACCAGGAGCATTTCATCTTATGCGAAGAGAAGAATCAGGCCTATTTGGTGGAAGCTAGCAGGTGGTTAGAAATCTTAAAGGCGGGATTTGTAGTTAAACTGGAAATGTAGGCTGGACATGGTGGCTCACACCTGTAATCCCATCACTTTGGGAGGCCGAGGCGGGGGCAGATCATGAGTTCAAAAGATCGAGACTATCCTGGCCAACATGGTGAAACCCCATCTCTACTAAAATACAAAAATTAGCTGGGCATGGTGGCGTGCACCTGTAGTCCCAGCTATTCAGGAGGCAGAGGTAGGAGAATCGCTTGAACCCGAGAGGTGGATGTTGCAGTGAGCAGAGATTGTGCCACTGCACTCCAGCCTGGTGACAGAGCGAGACTCTGTCTCAAAAAAAAAACACCAAAA